TTCATTCCCCAGATTAGGGAAGTTCTCAGCTACGATTTGCTCAAATACATCTTCTAGTCCTCTTTCTCTCTCCACTCCCTCCAGGATTCCAATTATTCTGACACTGGAACACTTCATGGTGTCACATATTTCTCTGATTCTGTTTGCATGGATTCTGAGTTGTTTTTCCCTGGCCTCCTCTTTTCCCTTTTTATCTATTATATGGTCTTCCAAGTCGCTTATTCGCTCTTCTGCCTCAGTTACCCTAGCTGTAGATTATCTAGATTGGATTGGATCTCATTGATAGCATTTTTAAGTTCTGCCAATTCACCTTTCATTTCTGCCCTTAGAGACTCTATGTTGCCATTCATTGATTTCTCCATTCTAGCCATTGTCTTCACAATTGCTAGGCTGAATTCCATCTATGACATCTTGGTTATATCTGCATCCATTTGTAAATCTGCAGCATAAGTCATAATCTCTGAGTCTTTTCTATTTTGGGGGCTCCTCCTCCTAGTCATTCTGTTGATGGGTGTTTGAGGGAATGTATAGAGTCCAAATTATTGACCAGAACCCAAGCAAGATGCACCTGTTTTCTTGGGACCTTAGGGTTGCTGGCCTCTTGTTTTCCCAGCCTGTCTTCTGCAGGAGGGGCCTGCCGCGCTGTTACTCAGGCAACCCTGTTTGGGCGGAGTTGCCCTGCGCCCCTGTGGCAGGCGATGGGCTCAGCGGGAATCAGTTTTAGGGGCTTTTGTTCTCTGGCGCCTTTCCCTGGCGGCTTTCCGTGTCTCTTCCACGAGTCAGAGCAGAAGAGTCCGTTTCCAACCCTCTGCCTCAGAGCAGAGAGACCGCAGTCTGTTCTTCAGTGAGCTCTCCAGGCCACACCGTCTCCGTTTCTGTCCGTGCTGCTATAAACTGCAGCGGCCTGGGTTGTGCGCCCCTCCGCAGCGCTCCCAGTCCTGCCTCCAGGTCAGGGCACGTCTCTGCCCTTTGTGCTTCTAAAATCGCCAGCCGCCCCCAGTTCACGCACGCGCGACCCCACCGCTCCGGGTTTCCACCCCGGGGCTGCCCTAAAGTCCTTTCCCCACCGCTACTGGTCTGCGAGCCTGTGCCCCGTCTGCAGCGTGCAAGGCTGTCACTCACCGAGGTGTAGGATCCCCACAGCCAGGCACCCTCCCACTGCCGTTTATCCTCCGATATCTGCCCGCAGAATCACGGCTCTCCGATTCGTACCTCAAAACCAACCGCCTGCGATATTCTGTTTGTAGAGATCCAGATCTTCTTACATCTCAGGCTGGTTTTGTGGGTGCTCAGAGTGGTCTGGCAGATATCCAGCTCAATTCCGGGGACCAGTTGAAGTAGGGTCCCCTACTCCTCCGCCATCTTTCCCCCTTCTGAATGTCACTTCTAAGCAGAAACTACACAGAAAGATCTTGTAACAATGGCCCGGTTTCTTCTATTCACTCAGCAAACACTGATGGAGGACCCCTGATGCACCCAATTCTGGGCCCAAAACACTTATGGATTTTAACTCCTTCAATTCCCACAGCTGTCCAGGCAAATGAGTAAGGGGAAATAGAGAAGTTGAGGTTATGTGGAAAGTTGTTAATGCTTACAGTGTAACAATGAAGTTAAATTTTAACAAGGTCTGAGTCAAGTAGAAAGCTTGCCTCCCTTTAATCCCCTATACAAACTGGGATTTTAGCCAAACTGCCTCAGTTGCTATCACATGGTCACCTTGCTCTTCTGGGTCTCTGCTCCCTGATTTTTCCTTTCCCTGGAATGGTGACTCCCACCTTCCTCCCACATCGCCCTATATCTCTAGTCTACTTATCAAAACCATACACATTCTGCAAGGCTTACATCTTCCCTACTCAGAACTCCCACAGCACTCAGGGTCTTACTAGACGTATTAAAATACGCTACTTAGGAACTATCTTAGCTTCCCTACTAGAGCATAAAATCCTAGACTACAGCAGTCTCCCTTATTATCTTTGTATACCTCAAAACTCAAGTTGTATCATTTAATACATTTTGATTTAGAGCATGAATGCAGAAGTGATTAGTCACTTAAATCAATACCACAATAAGAGATCTGGATGGCTTTTCTGAAGGTATTTTAAAGTACAAAAGCTAAAGGAATTGACCCATACACTTACCCTCACGTTCCTTCCAGAGACTCCTCAGAAGGGAGAGGCCCACTTATTTTTAGTGCCATACAAAGCACTAAACCTCGTAAATAATTCCTGGGAGCCAGTGTGGGCTGGAGGATGAGCTTGGGCTCCTGAGTCACACAGACCAAGGTCTCCAGCCTGGTTCTCCCGCTTACTGGTTGCATGACCCCGCAGGTCTTAATTACCTAAATTAAAGCTCTAGTTTCCTCACTGGCAGCATGAGGCTCCTCACCTTTTTTTGTTTTCTACCTAATCTTGGGCTATAAGAATGAGATGTGTGTGTGAGAAGCACCGAGGAGAGCCACGGATGGAAGGAACTATACGTCAGCCCCTCTTCTCCCACTCCCTGCCTTGTGCAACAGGGTACTTTTTTATTTTTATTTACTTATTTATTTTTCCACGTTTTTATTTAAATTCAAGTTAGTTAACATATAGTGTAGTATTGGTTTCAGGAGTAGAATTTAATGATTCATCAGTTGCACCTGGTGCTCACCACGTCACATGCACTCCTTAATGCCCATCACCCAGTTACCCCATCCCTCCACTCCCCTCCCCTCCAGCAACCCACAGTTTGTTCCCTATAGTTAAGAGTCTCTTATGGTTTGCCTCCCTCTCTGTTTTTATCTTATTTTATTTTCCCTTCCCTTCTCCTATGTTCATCAGTTTTGTTTCTTTAATTCCACATATCAGTGAAATCATATGATAATTGTCTCTCTGATTGATTGACTTATTTTGCTTAGCATAATACCCTCTAGGTCCATCCATGTCATTGCAAAAGGCAAGATTTCATTTCTTTTTGATGGCTGAGTAATATTCTGTTTTATATACACATATATATATATATCTCACATCTTGTTTATCTACTCATCAGTCAGTGGACACTTGGGCTCTTTCCATAGTTTGGCTATTGTTGATAATGTTGCTGTAAACATCGGGGTGCAGGTCCCTGTTCAAATCTGTATCTTTGTATCCTTTGGGTAAATAAGCAGGGTACTTTTTAAATTGCCAATTATTTTTGAAGGTAACAAAATATTCTGATAATAATGGTTTTTAACAGCTGCCTGTAGCCCATATGGGCCCTATCTGCCAACTTTGGCCATGGGTTTACCTTTTGGGTTTTGGTTCACCACAACCAAGGGCAGGAAGAGCCATGCCAGGACCCCTGCCCAGTCCTCAGCACCCCATGTCTGCACTTGTCGACGTGCAGGACCTCAGTTCATCACACAGTTGTGTGCAGTCTGCATATTCCACACCTTAAAGGACCACTGAAAGTCACTGATCAGACTCCAGCAAGCTTCCCTTTTTCTTCTTCTTCTTCATAAAATTATGGTAAAAAAAAATTATAGTGATTCCTGAGCTTAGTAACCAAATTCCCGCCCTTGCTAAATGATTGCCTGAATTTGGTTTGGATGCCTTGGAATGCAAGAAGGTGATCTGCAATGGTGTGAGGTAGTCATGTCATGGAACATGGAGAAGCATTTGTCACCTGGTCCTATTCAGTTGTACTGTTCTCCACTGTGTCTCCAGCTTGTGCCAAATCCTGAAGATGGCCAAAGATGACTCGACCATTCGTTGCTTCCAGGGCCTGCTGATTTTTGGAAATGTGATTGTTGGTGTAAGTAACGAGTATTTTTCAGGAAATTCTGTTCCTTCTATAATCACAGCTTTTGGATTAATCAAAAGTGAGAGTTTAAAGGAAAATAATGATATAATTACTGGCTTCCTCTCCCTTTTCTTCATTCCAGGAAATGTGTTAGTAAAATATGTTAGCTAGAACTTATATAAATAATCATATATAACTATGCAATATGTTGAAAGACCATGGTTTAAAAAAAAAAGGATATTTCCCTCCCAACTTTAAAACACAAAAATCTGAAAGAAGCCATGTCCACCATGGTCAATGTCCAAACATTCCCACCACACACACACTTTGGTGTTTCTTTCCTATTTCACCTTGGTTTGAGCTCCATGGAACTGTTCTGTTAAGGCTGTTGGGGACAGATGTTTGCGTTTACATGTCCTTATCACGTGGAGGCCAGTGCCGGGAAAGTCAGAGTGGCTTGGAGTCCAGGCTGTGTGGGCTCAGTGTGCTGACAGCGCACTCAAGAGTCAGGATCGCTGGCTCTAGGCTCAGCCCCACCACCAACTGTACTCTGGACAAGTCGTGGGCTTTCAAGGCCAAGAGCCCTCGTCTATAAAATGCAGAGTGTGGGAAAGATAACCACCAAGGTTCCTTGGTTCTCTGGCACTGATGAGTATGACCAGGACTAGTTGAAATATTGTAATCCAGGAATTTGGGCAGAGGGCAGTGGAAGTGGGAGGTTATCCCCAAACAAGAAGATATTGTTGAGTGGTTCATGCCCCAACGACTCTAGATGGTCTAAAATTGCAACGACTCTAGATGGTCTAAAATTGCCTGGGTCTTTTCCCAAATGGCAATAAGACGGAGTGACATGCGGGAGGAAGCATACAACTTATTAATAGGATGGAAGGAGCTGTTTGATTTCCTGGTAATGAGTTTCAGTCCACGGCTTTGACCCTCTGCGGGGACGGAGGGAGTCTCTCTCATAACCCCCTCCCACTGTTCTGCATCCCTTTCCCAATGCTGCTCTCCGACCAGCGGCCTGACAGAGCGCCCTCTCCCGCAGATGTGCGGCATCGCCCTGACCGCAGGGTGCATCTTCTTCGTGTCCGACCCGCACAGCCTCTACGCGCTGCTTGAAGCCACTGACAATGACGACATCTACGGGGCAGCCTGGATCGGAGTGTTTGTCGGCATCTGCCTCTTCTGCCTGTCCGCTCTAGGCACTGTCGGCATCATGAAATCCAGCAGGAAAATTCTTCTGGCGGTGAGACCTTAAGACTCTGCAGTCGCCTCCTGGATCAGTTTCGATGGACTGTTTCTTCCTCCCTGGGCACAGCGATTTGGCTTGTAGTGGGGCAGGTGGGAGCAGAGAGCCAGGGGAGGAGCGGCAAGGAGGCTGAGACTCTCCCTGCGGTGAAGCTGGTCCATGTGGGGGCAAGGATGTCCTCCGCTATTGCAAGTCCAGAAGATTCCAGTGTAGAGAACCCACAGGGGAGAAACCTGGGCGTGACCCTGGAGCACTCTCCAGCTCTGTGCTTCTCTACCTGGTGTCTGCACACATCCAGCAGGTTCAACCAGGAGCTACATAGGCCAAAGAAGAGACAGAGTGAGAACATGATCATTAGATTTCGTTCTCTTGACAATAAGTAGTCTAAAGCATTATTTTAATATTAATCAGTCGTTGACATTTTAGGATATAAAATACAAAATATGCACGAATTTTTAAGAGAAAACATGATCTTTTTCTGACATTTTTGAGCTCAAGGCCGATGATTTTGTATAAAGACCTGCATTTCCCATATTTTGCATTCATTCTACTCTTCAGGGACCCTAGAAAACCTTGATGCACAGCACTAGAGAGGATAGAGGACAGCTTCAGCTCCCACATGCCTGTGGATCTTGAACGCCATGCATGCACAGAGAGGCTTCTGTCCTGAGCCACAGACAGCAAGGTCACGCCCTGCCTTTGTAGATGGAAGCAGACTTGCAACCAGCAGAGCTAAGAACCCTAGGTATTGGACCTAGACCTCTATTCTCTGCCCCCATGCTTAGGACAATAGTTTCTCACACAGTGATGGTGTCCACCCCCACTCCCCACCCTAAAATAACTCTCCTACCCAAATGCTGCAGGACCTGAGTTACATCTTTATGGAACAAGCCCAGCAACTTAAGATGCTTGTTGGTTTACTTTTCCCGCGATCTAAACATTGTCCCGGCACCCAGAGAATGCAGAACATTTACATTCTCTGATTCCTTTAGCATGAGTTGGTTCCAGGGCAAAAGCACCCACTTCTTCAAGTGGAGAAACGAATGCAGGGAAAGGGAGAGGAGGGGCAGGTGTCCCCAGAGACAAGTTTCACCTGCATCCTGGTCTCATTTTGGGCCAGCCATGTGTGCCTGACGCAGCCAGGAGGGAACATTCTTCACCATGTCCTGCAAAGGGAAGGAGCAAGGCATCTTCTCAGGGGTTGATGGAGAAAACCCCTGTACCCCAGGCCTCCTTTCTGGAGTGTCTTTAAGGGGTTTCCGAGCCCCTTTAAGAAGAACCACAACGCTCTTTTTTTTTTTTCCTTTTAAGGATTTTATTTTTAAGTAATTTCTACACCCAGTGTGGGGCTCGAACTCACAACCCCGAGATCAAGAGTCACATGCTCTATGGATTGAGCCAGCCAGGTGCCCCCAACCACCAAAGCTCTTGACAAAAAACAAGGCAGCAATGTTATGAGGCCTCTGATGGTGCTCCTGCTACTGACTCCCCAGCCAAAGCCCTTCTGTGAGCAGTAGCTGAGTCGTTAGGGCAGCCCAGGGTCCTGCTCAGAGCTGTCCCTGCCCAGGGAGAGAGCACAGTTTTCCTTGCCTCCCCCCACCTACACTGACTGCAGCGCCCCTTCCCTAGAAGAACGCAGGGACCCAAAGCAAACATGCAAGACTGAGGAAAGCGAAGACAGACCCTCGCAAATAGTTCCCATCCCAGATTCAGAGGCAACTTGCTGTTCAGATATTTCTCAGTCATAAATAGAGGCAGTGTGGTGGGGAGGCATCGTGCGGAAGTGTGTGTGCCCATGTGCGAGCGTGAACACACAGACACACAAGGGCAACACACAGTGAGGTGTGTTCCACTCGCCTGACCCACACCTGCAGGGCTGGGGGCTGAGAGAAGAGTGCCGGCGAAGGGCTGTGTACCTGGAGGCTGCCCGCTCCTTTCTGGTGAGACTGGACCCTTGTCAGGACGGACGCTGGATGTTAAACACGATCCGGTTCATCTTCTTCTGACCTCTGTAATTCTAAAGTTTCAATAACCCATAAAGAAAATTTCTCTCACCGAGAGGGGATTTATAAAGCTCTATATAGTGTCTGATCCCCCAAGACTCTCTCGCCAGCCATTGAATGAATAAACACACGCACTCACACAGACACACGTGCACACGCATGCACACGCATGCATGCACACATCAGTTCATTCTCTTGTGTTTGTTTTGCTCAGTTAAAATAGAAATGTAGGGTGCTGGGCTGAGAAAGCTCTGTATTCAGTAGTCATTTGTTCTCTGGGGCTAAGGAGGGAATTGAGCTGATTAGCACCTAGCACCAAGTCTTGCTCCAAACAGCTGATCAATGAGGGCTTGTTGAATAACTTCATTAATGATTAGATGGTTTTACTTAGATGAATATGCTGAAAGAATAGGACAATTATTTTTTTTTAATTCTCTCTTTTTTGGAGATAAATGTAATTCCTTTTTTCCCCATTTGTTTCCCTTCCAGTATTTCATTCTGATGTTTATAGTATATGGCTTTGAAGTGGCGTCTTGTATCACAGCAGCAACACAACGAGACTTTGTGAGTACAATCACAAAAGCACAGAGCGAAAATGACCATAGGAGTCTTCATTATCATCGTAACAATACAATAGCTGACATGTATTAAGCCCTTACTCTGTACGAGGCACTCTAATATGTGCATTAATATTAAATATACAAGTTTACTTAATCCTCATAATAACTTTATATGTATTATCACAATGGTCACTTTATAGATAAAGAAATGAGATTTAAAAAGGTGAAGTAACTTGTCCAAGTTTACACAGCTGGTAAGTGAAAGAGGAGAATCCTGAGTCCAGGCCGAGCAACTCCTGGGGCCCAAGCTAATACTGCTATGCTCTTCACACTAGGCCGTGGCCACCAGCCCTCCCGTAGGATGATCAATAATCCACCACATCTAAGATTTCCTCTCAATTCAGCATCCTGCTTTCTCTCCTTTTCTCTACTTCCTAGCCTAAGCCACCCTAAAATGCCTGCCCACCTGGTCTCACTGCGATTTCTTTGAAGATGGGGGTGGGGGGTGTCTTCTCCCTTCATGGGGACTTCAGCCATCCAGCCTCACACCCACCCCACCCCTTCTCGTGGCCTCTGCAAAGTTTTACTCCAGGAGACGATGTTGAGTGCCCCTAGCAATAGGCTGAGCAAATCATTTTGCTTCCTTGGGGATGAGCGTGCTAACTCTCCTTTTGTTGTCTCCTCCCACCATAGCTCACACCTAACCTCTTCCTGAAGCAGATGCTGGAGAGGTACCAAAACAATAGCCCTCCAAACAATGATGACCAATGGAAAAATAATGGAGTCACCAAGACCTGGGACAGACTCATGCTCCAGGTAATGCCTGCAGTTTTGGCATTCTGTGCCTAAACCAGTATCCAGGAGTGAAGGTATGGATGGGACTGAAGTCAAAGAGTGGGGACCACGGCCTCTAGGGCGGTTTCATTCAAAAAGAGACTGGACTGGGGAGCCCGGGTGGCTTAGTTGGTTAAGTGTCTGACTCTTGATTTCAGCTCAGGTCATGATCTCAAGGTCGTGAGATAGAGCCCTGCATCGGGCTGGGCATGGAGCCTGCTTAAAATTCTCTCTCTCCCTCTCCCTCTGCCCCACTCCTGCTCACAGAGGCTTTCTCTCTCTCTCTCAAAAAAAAAAAGGAAAAAAGAAAAGAAAAAGAGACTGGACATAGGCAAGTTCATTTATTCTTCTTATCTATTCCTCTTGTGTGCACATCACTCAATGGAACCCATAAATCTATATTTTATTTCTGAGCCATGATGTTGATTAATTTCCATTTAGGGATAATGACATTGATAAGAAATTGAGATCAATCACACTGCCTCTTAGAACTCAAGCATCACTTACACTGAAAGAACAAGTTTGCTTCCTCCACATCACAGTGAACTCAAGTGGCAAATATTGCCTATTTTGCTTATTTAGTACCGATGGGCTAGTCCTGCTGAGGACCCATGGGCTATGACCTGACTTGATTGCCCACTTGTCTGTAACTGGCCATCATACCTTATATGCAAGTTTACCTTAAATATCATCAAAAATCCAAGTCTTTCAGAATATCCACTATTACCCCTACATTGCCTTGTGTATGTGAAAGTCTATCCCTACATAAGCCCTAATCTGACCCAACTCTCACACTGCCCCCTGCCTCCCTCCCCCTCCACTGGCTCACAGTGCATCATCAGCCAACTCCCTTGGCCTTGGCCCCCTTCTTGATGTCTCTTTACCCTCTATCCTCTAGCACTTCCTTCATTTATCTAAATATTCCCATTCCAACCATTCTTTTTACCCCATTAGGACCTCCAATTCACTGGCCACTTTTTTACTTTCTGTCACTCTTCTGACTATAGGTCATGTACTTTTTCCACTCTCTTAGCAAGAACTTAGCTCTTCAAATGAAAATGCAAATGGCCACACATCTGAAAAATCTTCTTACCAACTTTTAAAAACCCAGTCTGAACTTAACCATTTTCCCCCAAAAAGGCTCAGATCAAAATATAGGATAAGTATTTTCCTTCACAAGGTATTTTCCATAATCCAGTGACAAAATAGGATATGCTTTAAAGACAGCTAATTTGGGGCACCTAGGTGGCTCAGTGGGTTAAGCATCTGCCTTCAGCTCAGGTCATGATCCCAGGGTCCTGGGATCGAGCCCCCGTGTTGGGCTCCCTCCACGGCAGGGAGTCTGCTTCTCCCTCTGCCCCTCACCCTGCTTGTGCTCTCTCTCCTTCTCTCTCTCTCAAATAAAAGACAGCTGATTTACCATCAAGTTTGTTTGAAAGTAATTCATTCTGAAAGTTGAGAGGGGTCTATAGTTTTATTTTTTTATTTTTATTTTTTTTTAAGATTTTATTTATTTGTGAGAGAGAGAATGAGAGACAGAGAGCATGAGAGGGAGGAGGGTCGGAGGGAGAAGCAGACTCCCTGCTGAGCAGGGAGCCCGATGCGGGACTCGATCCCAGGATTCCAGGATCATGACCTGAGCCAAAGGCAGTCGCTTAACCAACTGAGCCACCCAGGCGCCCGGGTCTATAGTTTTAATTTCTTCCCTTGAAACATTTTAGCAGAATTTCTTTTTTCTTTTTTTTTTTTAAAGATTTTTTATTTATTTATCTGAGAGAGAATGGGAGACAGAGAGCATAAGAGGGGGAGGATCAGAGGGAGAAGCAGACTCCCCGCTGAGCAGGGAGTCCGATGTGGGACTCGATCCCGGGACTCCAGGATCATGACCTGAGCCGAAGGCAGTTGCTTAACCAACTGAGCCACCCAGGCGCCCCTAGCAGAATTTCTACAAAGGAAGGAAAGTGATATGAAATATGTTTTATCCTCTATCCTCTACTCTATCCAGAGTGTGAGGATATTACCTATGTGTTCCTTGATCTTCCTCTCTTATGTAGGGGCAGAGCTGTGTGCCACTAGGTTTGGTTATTTTTTCCAGTTTACTCTAGAAAATGTTAAAAGTACAGAAATGTAAAATAAGAAGAATTACTCATCACTTCGTCACTACTAAAAATTTTAATTTTCTGACTCTCAATTTGCTCATATGTCATATGAGAATAATCGTACCTCCCTCACATTGCTGTATCAAGATATTAGTATTAATAATAATTAAGGGTTTACTGGGGCACCTGGGTGGCTCAGTCGGTTAATCGTCTGCCTTCGGCTCAGGTCATGATCCCAGGATCCTGGGATCGAGCCCCACATCGGACTCCCTGTTCAGCGGGGAGTCTGCTTCTCCCTCTGCCCCTCACCCTGCTCATGTTCTCTCTTTCTCTCACTTTCCCTCACTCTCTCAAATAAATAAATAAAGTCTTTAAAAAATAATAATAATAATTAAGGGTTTACTATGGGCGAGGCAGTGTACTAGACAGGTCAGGCACATTAGCTCATTTAATCCTCACAGGAATTCTGAGGACCATGGACTGCGTGAAGGAAACAAGGCCACATTTTACAGTGAAGGAAGATGAGGCATAGTAGGGAGTTGAACTCATCAGAGCTCATTAGTGGCTAATAGAGTAACAAATGTTGAAGTATTTTGTAAGCTCTAAAATGTAGGTTATCGATACCCTCAGCTCTCATTTGGGGAATTCTAGTAAACGTAAGATATGGTATACTCTCCATATCTTCTTTCTCCACAAAATCTCAGTTGCTACATTCATGGCTCTAGCAAGGAGCATGGAAGAGAATTTTGTATCTGTCCTCTGCTGGCAGGACCATTGCTGTGGTGTAAATGGTCCATCAGACTGGCAGAAATATACGTCTGCCTTCCGGACTGAGAATAATGATGCCGACTATCCCTGGCCTCGCCAGTGCTGTGTGGTGAACAATCTTAAAGAACCTCTCAACCTGGAGGCCTGCAAACTAGGAGTGCCTGGTTACTATCACAAGCAGGTGAGTCCTCTCTGTCCAATACCTGCTCTTTATGAGGGAAATACTGATTAACTATAGGTAATAATCTCTCATGAAGAATTCTGCATCCTTTTTCCCTAAACCTTATGTCAACTATTTCCTTCTCTGTCAGTAAAATGCAGATGCTAGTCTAGGGCTCTTCTGGGGAAATCTACCTTTTAATAAAATCAATAGAACATGAGAATTGCAATAGCAAAGTCCAACTTTGCTTAAATGCAAACTATTTGTACAATAGAATATAGGCTTGGTATTTCAAAAACTATTTCCATTAAACGAAGATTTACTCTGGTTTTGCAAACTGTGAATTGGAAGGGGTAGGTACCAAAAGGGTGTGTCGCTAGTGCTGAAGCAATGGCAAGTGCTGGCAGTAAATGCAGCAATTATATAACCACCTTCATTATTCAGTGGTAACATAGGATGGTCTTAAAAGAATATTAAGATGATGATTTGGGTAGAAGGCAGTTCACATACAGATGGTTTTTGAGAAAGTGTTTCCAGCCTGATGAGAATGATATAATGATCCTGAAAACTAGCATTTATTGAGTACTTACTTA